ATTACTGCAATTATAATGATTATGATGATGTTTTTTATTAGTGCACTGTAAAAATTATTGTTGGCTTAACTTAAAAAAGTAAGTAACCATGACTTAAAATTTTAAGTTCACTGAAAATAAAAATTTTAGTTAATACAAAGAAAGAGACTGGTTTGATCAACAGAAACTCACAGTATTGTGTTATCTGAATGTTAGTTATACAAGTTGACTTGACAAAAAGAAAAAAGCTATGATAACAAATCATGAAAATAATTATACAGCCTAGGGTTATTAATATTATTATTTGATAGTTAATACTCTGATGAGATGACTGATTGGTAGCGATTTTCTAAAACCTGTAGTTTGTGTATTTGGTTTGACGGAAAAGTCATCATAATTCACAGAGAACACACCAATTTCATTTAACATATTCTGTGATTTTTCCCTTAACATAATTCACTGGTTGATCAGCTGTCACTGGTCAAATGGTTTAAGTGATGTTTAAGTGTTTAATGTTTAGTATGTTGGACATTTAAAAGAGTTTTGAAAGAGAAGTTATGATGACTTTTTTTTGTGGTTATTATTCTGCTGAAGACGACCGATGGCCATAATAAATGAGGTACCAGCCCTATATTAATTTATTTTAAAACATTTTTATCTAACTGTAATTGTTTGTTATTTAATTTAATTTAATTTAATAATTTATGCATTTAGCAGACGCTTTTATCCCAAGCGACTTACAGTGCATTCAGGCTATACATTTTATACCAGTTATTTATTAATTTATCTTCTTCAAGTAATATTAATAGCCAGCACAGCACTTGTTCACGTTAATTCTAACATTTTTAGCAATGACTTAGAAATGACTTGTGACTGGCAACCAGTTTATATTCAATGAAAATAATATAATTTGTGTTCATGTAGCCACCACCCACTACGTATATCAAGCTCCTGGTAACCACAAACACGTCAGCGTAACACATTCTTTTCAATGGTAAACACTTTTATCATGCATGAACAACATGTGTTAAACATTCAGATGAAATGAAAGTGATTACAGACAATAGAGAGAAAGACCACATGAATGAAAATTATACTCTTTTTTTTTTTATGCAGAAACCTCCCCTACACTTAAGGTAGGGATAAAGGAGGCAACGTCACTCTGCCATGTGAATATGAGGGCAGTGAGATTCCTGATATTGAGTTGAGTCGGTCAGAAAACATAGCTGTCTGTCAGACTGAAGAGTGTAGTGGACGAGTCTGTAAGAAAGGAGCATGTGACGTCGTCATCAAGAATCTGAGCTTCAGTGATGCTGGGAAATACTTTTTGAGAGTCAATGATCAGGCAGAGCTGAAGCGACAAATCAGGACGTACCAACTTTGTATTGATGGTAAAGTTAAAACTGATTAGCATGTGTAATTTCCTTTAGTAACTGTGACGTAAGCCATGTGTATCTTGCCATGCTGCGGACGCAAGCTTCAGACGAAGAAGTGAATGATGTGTGCTCCCGGCGCCTATTTATACTATAGTCGCACCGTAGTGACGTCATGGCTGTCGCCGGCCAACGAGTTGGTGTTTTTTCAATGTATGCTTCAGACACGGGTCACGACGAGGCGTTCCCCCCCATAGCGACCCCTAGAGGATGCAGTGTCTCGTTCCCTACTCAGGGAACCATGGTTACATATGTAACCTGAGACGGTTTTCCTATTGCTTATTTTTAAATGATTATATTTGTCCTCCCAGTCCTAGATATTTGCTTATGCCTTGGATTGATTATAATAATGATTAATATCTTTTTGTAGTGAGCCGGATCATTTGGCTCAGCAATAAGGACTGGCTCTTTCAGCCTGCAAATGAAAGCCTTTCATTCACATTATTTTGCAGCACAGAAGTAAGCCGTTTTCCGTGAATGCATGAGACTTGTAGGTAAATAACTAGAAAAACATCAAAGTGCAGTAAGCTGTACAAACCAGTGTGTTTATACAGTAATTGCAACAATACATTAAAATAATGTAAGAAATACCTGTTTGCAGTAGCAAGCAGCATAACTAGCAGATTTATAAGTTGAATTACTGAAATAAATGAACTTTTCCATGACATTCTAATTTATTGAGATGCACCTGTAGATAAATAACTGAAAGTGAATGAAACAGAGGCCTTGCTTATTGAAGTTAATAACACAGCCAAATTTAGCAATGATTTGACCTAAATATCAATTAAATTATTCAGTGTAATTATATTATGTTCAGTATAAAAACCTTAGATAATATAAAAACATCAAATACTTTGACAGAACGTTAGTGAAATGTCCGAAATGAATTATTCAAAATGGAATACAACGCGTTGTACAGTATAATAAATAATTATATTACAATGTGCAAAACAGCAGCATCCAATACTTGTAATGTTGTGCCCTGAAACACTGTAACATTGATCAGAGAAAGTGACCGAACACGAGCAAAACAACGCTCAGTCAGATCTGTGAAGTCAGATCCAAAAACACAGACAGCTTAACTGGGAAAATCCGACATTCTACAGGTAGCAGGAGGGAAGCTGGGAAGAGAGCACATACTGTATATTTATTTTTTTCAATTTTGAACATGTTTAAAGATTTTGTAAAGCTCTCAATTCCTTCTGTTTTACTTGCTCTGTTGTCTTGTGGCATCAGTTTTTGTCAGTTCAGTTTTCCCTTTGATTCTGTACCTGATCCTGCCGAGGATATACAGTATCTCACAGAAGAGTACACCCCTCACAATTTTGTAAATATTTTATTATATCTTTTCATGTGACAACACTGAAGAAATGACACTTTGCTACAATGTAAAGTAGTGAGTGTACAGCTTGTATAACTCAAGCTCAACACACTCAAAATAACTCAACACACAGCCATTAATGTCTAAACCGCTGACCACAAAAGTGAGTACACCCCTAAGTGAAAATGTCCAAATTGGGCCCAATTAGCCACTTTCTCTCCCCGGTGTCATGTGACTCATTAGTGTTACAAGGTCTCAGGTGTGAATGGGGAGCAGGTGTGTTAAATTTGGTGTTAGTGTCTCTGCATTGTGGACTAATGACAAAATGTAAACATCAACGTGTTTTAAACTCGTGAATGGAGAAATCACATTTCACATTTCACATCAGTCATGTGACCCGTGCAGCTCTAACAGCTGATCTGAGATCAGATTTCTCCGCCCATCAAATCACATGATCATAGAGCTGTCAGGCAACAGGTGTTTCCTTCAGAATAAAAGTCAGAGTGTTAGCGTTTAAAATGTAATCAATATGATTAAATAATTAATAAGATTCACAAGATTACGTCAGTCACTGAACATATTATGTTAAACGTCTAACAGCTCAATCTGCTTTGAATGAATTCCCTGTCGATGACTGTATAATGATGACCAATCATATACTCCTCTTTATAGGGAGGCAACACATATTTCCAGACTGTCAAAACACTCACCTGTGTGTGTGATACTTTTAGTTTTGTTTCTACTTAAATGTGTAGTTAGTCTCACTATAAACGTGCTGTGGCTTAAAAGTGTTGACACCTGAACATAAGACTCATACAGAACCATGTAAGTTTTCATGCTTTTTCATATAAACCTTTTATAAAGCTTTTTAATATAAAGCTTAAATATGTGTTTGTGTTCTATTGTGTTTCTCTGGAAAACTAAACCTTACTGATGTGGAAAGGAGTCAGAGTGTTTATCCTCAACTTGTTTATTATGATGATTATGATGGTTTTTTTTTTAGTGCACAGTAAACAATTATTGTTGGTTTAACTGTAAAAAGTAATTAACCTGGTTCCCTTCAAATTTTAAATTCGCTGAAACTAAAAAAAATTAGTTAATGCAAAGAAAGAGACTGGTATGATCAACAGAAACTCAAAGTATTATGTTATCGGAACAACATTAATTATCTAAGTTGATTTGACAAAAAGAAAAAAAGTTTTGATAAACCATAAAAAAAACATTTTTACAGTGTGGAGTTATTCATATAAACATTTGATAGTTCTACATTTATTACTATTACGACGAAATGAAACTAAAAATGTATTTGTCTCAGGAAAGCATGTAGTCTGTATACTATCTGTCACATAAACCAGCTCTTCTGTATTCTCAACAGGCCAGATTTCTTGCATCTTCTGTTGCTGTTTTGCCTTTTCAGCGGTCAGTACAGCATTGTTGTTTATAAATTGTAACCGTTTTTTTTTTTTTTACAATTGCACCTGTACATCTGCTACAGCTTTATACTTTTGTCATCAACACTTGTAATGTTAAAATGTGGCACTGCTAACATTGTCGTCTCCTTCATGCTTCTTAATTAATCCAGTTGACTAAAAATAACTCTACTAGAACAATGTACAAAGACGAGTATAGAGAACAGAGAGAAGAAAGACCACATGTATTTTTCAGTATAGAACGAATGCTGTCTTTTTATTTATTTATTTTTGTGTGTGTGTGCAGGAACCACCCCTATACCTGCGATAGGGATAAAGGGAGGAAACGTCACACTGACATGTGTACATAAGGCCACTAATATTGTTCAGATTGAGTTATTCAGTCAGTCAGGAGACATAGATGTGTGTCAGGATGAAGAATGTAGTGTTCGAGTGTTTAAAAAAGGAAACTGTGACGTCGTCATCAAGAATCTGAGCTTCAGTGATGCTGGGAAATACTACTTGCATGTCTATTACAATAATGATCAGACAGAGCTGGAGCGACAAATCAGGACGTACCAACTTTGTGTTGATGGTAAAGACATAACTGATCAAACATCAGCATCTGCTTTCTGGTTTTCTTTTAATAATTGTGTGGTCTTGCATGTAACCAGCAGAGATTATAATAATGATTGATGTCTTTGTGTTTCTCCTCAGATGAGATTTCTGTGAGCATCGGTGAGCAGCTGGAGTTAGATGTTCTTGTTGTCAGAAGCTGATAAAGTGCAGCATCAGAGCAGAAGAAGCACAGGGTGGAAGGAGGATTGGAGCAGAAGCGACGGAGTTCAGAGCGAACGAATGACCATCAGAGATAGAAACCTGATCATTAGTAACTTTACAGCCAGAGACGCAGGAACATACAGAGTTCTGGACTCTGATGGAGATCTCTTGATCACGGTGAAAGTCAGAGGTGAGAGAAGCTCAGTGGATGTATTATTTTAAAATCAGTTTGACAGCTGAGGTTTATTCATCATGATTTGATCAGCAAATTGATGCTAAACTGTTTGATGAACCTTTCAGTATCCTCTACAGCTTCTGCAAAATCAGGCTCAAAGGGAGAACTAAACAACACAAATGATGACAAACCCAATGACACCGAAAAACATAGTAAGTAAACTGAGGAGTTATTGAGAGATTTACAAAATCTTTTGCATCAAACCTCAATATCCTTTTCGGGTGTTTTTGAGGTTCTTAATGTGCTTTAAATTGCATGAAACTCGATGCACACATCAGAATTATCTGCCATTAGATATTGGCAAAAGCTCAGAAATGGGTGCGGAGGAGGGTTCTATAGTGGCACCTTTTGACAAAAGTGTGGGGGTGTGGGGGGGGTGTTAGTTTTTCCTACAGTCACCAAACTTGGTACATATATTGTTCTCATCAAGCCGGAAAACTTTCTAATTTACAGTCATTAGCAATGACCAACAGCAAGTCGGCTATTTTGTCCGTTGACAATTCAGGCTGTGAATTTTTAACTACTCCTCCAATCATACAATTCACACCAAACATTGTCAACATGATGCCAAAACACTGAGGATTCTAAATTGTGAATGATTTTTGCATATCTGGAATGGTGTTGCCATGGCGAGGGGTTAGATTTGATTTCATTTGGTTCTATATACAGTGGGTGTCGAAAATAATCAGCCCCTTTAAAATAATCACATTTTGTTGCTTTGCAGCCTGAAATGAAGATGGACACAGTTATTGTTTTATCCAGCTGTATTTACTCAGTGCAACTTATAACATCCAAGTAAAAGATAAAACACCAACATGTCAGGAAAAAAAAAAAAAAACAATCACTGAGTTGGAAAAAGGATGACCCGCCTCCTAAAAACGACGTATAAACTCAATCAGGTGCAGCTACACAAAGCTATTTTACTCTCAACTGTGATCAGCTGTGGTCATTTTGATCAGCTCAGCATGAAAAGAGCTT